TTAGGACTATAGTGCTTAAAAAGGGTTTATTGGTTTTCACACCATTTATTCAATAAAGAACTGAATCATTCAAACATTTCTCTAGAATGTTAAATTGCCAGTCTGTACCTGAAATATTGTGATTGCCTTAATTAGAACTATTAAAGCTTTTCTCAATTAAGTGTTTTTTTTTTCATTTCAGCCCAAGGTGTTGTTACAGCATCCTTTGGCATTGAACCTGGAAGGAGGGTAGAATACATACCGCTCATAGAGGAAGCACTAAGAACAGGACAACACAAACCAGAAAAAATTCTCATTTACAGTCGTCCAAATATGGTAACCTGAATGTGAATTTGGTTTTTGCTTATGGTAATGTGCCAAGGATAATTCTAGTCTTGACCATTTCAAGGAGACATTTTATTCATAAACTATTAAATACATACCCTAAATGTTATTGCCGTTTCTAGGGAAGAAAGATATGGATGATATGTCTTTAAGAAAAACAAGGTTAAAATAGGCTGAATGTAGTGGAAATATATTTTGTACTCATGTATGAAAATGGAAAAAGGAGACCTGTTGAACTATTCCAGGAATGAGGAGTGGGGATAAAGGAGAATGATGGAGGGGTAAATTCAAATATGATATATTGTAAGAACTTGTAAATGTCACAATGTACCCCAGATAAAGTAACTTGCCTGACTAGTGAGTGCCAGAGTCATGATTTGGATGTGAGCAGTTTTAGTCTGCCTGCATGTTTAATTCCTTCACTATACTGTCCACCTATTGGAGAGGTCTGCATAATTAGTATGCAAAATATCTTTTAAAAAATAGGAAAAGTGTTTAGACAAGAATCAGCCATTTTCAGGCAAATGAAACATGAATATTCTAAGCAGTTAAATTGTTCTATGAACTGTGATGGAAGAAAAAGCCATGTAATAGAGAAATTAATAGAATTTATAATACCTTTCCTACTAACTTTAACCTAATGATCACTTTATTTCTACACCCAAGCAAAAAATCTCCAGATATTTATGGTAGGGACAAGGTGGGTTTTAGCAGACTGAAAATTTTTTGGCAGAAGAAAAACTATGAGTACAAAGAATCAAGTGTAATTCTGTGGAATTCTTGAGAGGTTATCTGTCTGTGGCTCAACCAACTGCCTCACTCAATGATTCTAGTGTTCTAACTGTCTTGAAAAAGAATCTTAAATTGCTTTCAAGTGACCAGGATCATAATTTTATGAAAGGCTTTGTGGCTGTTTATATCAAGAATGCAAAGTCAGCAACAAAAAAGGATTGGGGTAAGGGAAGTTGAGAGAATGACAGAAATGCATGCAAAGAAAAAAAGTGTGTTTACATGAGTGTGTGTGTGTGCTATTCACTCACATGTATGGATGTAAATAGATTTTAAGGAACCAATGATGGACTGGGTCCAATACAAAATACTTTTAAATACTTCTTATTTAATTCTCACAGACCAATGGACTAGATCTTGTTACTGGTTCCATTTTACTGATGAAGAAACTAAGTTATGAATCAAAGCCAAGCAATAAAGGTTTGAAAGCTGGTTCAATCACTTTTGACCAACAAGATGCATGCTATCTCTTCCACTCTATACACACATTGCATGTGCATATTAATGTTCTCTACTCATACTTTTAAAATGCATACTTTTCCCTACTTATCTCACCTGACTAGCTAACTTTCTGTCACTCTTTCCCTTTTCTCCAGAGCCTGTCCTCTATTATGATATGGATGAAGACTTTGAATGTCTCTTGTTCTTAATAGGACCCCTACTGTTTAGGCACTAATTAAACCCAATGGATTGGATTTGCTTTTAGTTTAGAGAGACACAGATTATGAGGCTGGGTGGTGCATGTCAACCAGGTTTGCATTTTTGCCAGAGGAGGTAAAAACTTGGCTCCTACTCCTAAGCCTCAGGCACGCAATGACAGAATCAAAGGATTATCATATCAGTAACCCTGTTATTCTCCTAATATTGCCTTTTAAGAATTATAACATCTAGGAAAGACATATCTGTGGAAGCAAATATATAAATATATGGGTATATATAAACTGAGTGTTGATTTTCTCTCTTTATTGTCAAATCTCCTTTACTCACATTTATATTTCTTGCCTTAAAGAATAATAATTATTCGTGCTAGTGCTCATTTCATAAGAGGTCTATAAAATCATAGATCTGTAATTATTTTCACGATCACTCTTCACATTTTTCATTTTTCAGTGTGATGATTTTATAGCTCAATAATTTTGATATTAATAGTTTGATAATTTGAAATTAGTTGTTTTTATCCCATGCATAAAAATAAATAAAAACATGATTTGCTTATAGTTAAGCTATTTCTGTTTATTTAATTAATTGGTGGTACTGGGATTTGAACTTAGGGCTTCGTACTTGCTCTTAAAGCAGGCTTTCTACCATTTGAACAACAATTACAGTCCATTTTGCTCTGGTTATTTTGGAGATGGAGTTTTGTGAACTACTTGCCCAGGCTGGCCTTGAACCTTGGTCCTTCTGATCTCAGCCTCCTAAGTAGCTAGGATTATAGGCGTCAGCCACTGTCTCCTGGCTCTTTCTGTTTATTTAAATAGCTCAAGCCAGTAACTTTCAGAGTGAGGCTGGAGAAGCAACTGAGCCTGAAATTTCACCTTTCTGAAGGGTCTTCAATTCGGATTGTTACCTGCAAATGTGTTTATTCATACAGGCATTGTCTTTGTGATATTGTATTGAAGCATTAATTTGTAAATGTACATATTTAAATACATGACAGGTTTTTATAACCCTAGTTAATATATTAGGGATCCTGGAAAATAGAATTCATTTTCTTTTCTTAGTCTTTGCCTTTAGTCTCAACTCAAGACTCAAGTTGAAGTGAATGGTCACATATTATAGCTCTAGTTGATAGATCTCACTAACTTTACTGAGCCTTTTGAAGCTGGGTTCTGTTTGTGCTAATGTGTTCATTAATTATAAACTTTCTGATTTGTGATTTTGAACACAGCTAATGTTTCCGAAAATAACCAGATATTCAATCGAAATGACCTCTTTAGAGAAGTGTAACTTCTCACTAGAGTAACTTCTTCGTAAGCCGCTTGCCTTACTCTTCATCTATCTGGCCATTTGATGGCGCTGTTTCTGAAGAGGTCTTAGTTTTCAAAATTGTTTTCCGTTCTTGAAAAAGCAAAAGCAGAATTTTCATCCATCCTGAACATGCTTGGACATCCTCTCATTTGGAAAGGTAGCTGCAGTATTTCTCCTAAATGCCCTCCTAGAAAGAGAAATTTTAATGGGTTAGTTTATATTTTGTCGTGAAGATAGAACTTCCAAAGTAAAAGAAATATAATGCAAAACAACAGAACTCAGTTTATAAAGTTACTAGTGTACAAGCATCTGTGGAAACATGGATCACTGAGTTAATTAAGCTCAGAGTATGATGAAAACATAAGTGAACCCAATTGAATTTCTTAAAGGTATCACTAGATTTGAGTAATACATGTTCTTTCTGTCAATTCTCTTGGAGCCAATACTAAACCAATGGATTTTTATCTTGACTCCCCACCTTGATCTGTTTAGTCATAAATTCAATGCTCAGTGCATTGAATTTGCATTGTAGATTTTTCATTCACACGCTCAGACCTGTATAGATGTAACTACTGTCTGTTATTCCTGTGGATTAATCTCCTTTTACAATGTTTTATTTCTTCATTCTTGCTGTGCAGGGGATGGTTCCTTTGGTGCCGGGTCGTGATCTTGATTGGGAAGAAGAAATGGCAAAAGCCCAATCACAAGACTGCGTTCCTGTCCTCTCAGAACATCCACTGTATATTCTATACACATCTGGAACAACAGGGCTGCCTAAGGTACTTTCTCTTAAGGATAACTCCACAACAGCAGATTTCCTCTGCGGGAAGACTGTCTGATCACTGGCTGAAAATGTTTGCAGACTGTTGGTACCTTGATTTTTAGGCATAACTGCTTTGTATCTTAAAGGAATTTTGTCCTAAACTCAACATATAGAACAATGTTTATCACATTTAATACCAAATGATTTTTCCTCATTTATTCAAAATTCTTTTCAAATATCATCAATATACAGTGCTTTAGTAAGCTAGTAAAGAAGATCTTCAACAGCTTAAAATATAAGGTGCACAAAAGATGCTTTTGCAAGACAAATTTAAAGGCATCAGTATTCACAAATGTATCAGGTATTAACAAATTCCACATTTTCCTGGTACCTCCAAATAATATTCTTTCTCCAGACAACTTCATAAAGGCTTATCATATCATCTTTCTTGCTTATCTTCATTAGAGTGTTCAATATTCATTGAATCATGGAATTTTAGTGTCCTCAATCCATGAGGACAGAGGTCTCTTTATTATTAGGTCTCTGCAGCATCAGAGTTCTGAAAATGTAATCTTTGAATAATGATAAAGTAGTGTTTAATGTTAAACCAAATTTTAAAAAAGGAAATTTAAGACATTCCATATACAACTCACTTATGAAAAGGAAAACATTTGGTAGAGGACTACAAAGTCGTCTCTGAGGACAAAGACCATATTTTCTACACTTTGTTCTATTATTATGTTTTATAAGTAGTTGGTACTTACAAGTTGGTACTTGTAAGTTTTGTGAATGCAAAATTAAATAAATAGATATATGTATACATATGTGTCATTATTAAATTGAAGTGATGATTTTTTAACAACTCTAGTCATCTAAAAAATGAATATTTCTTCATATTGAAGAAGTCCAATTGATATACTGGACACAATTTTCACCCTTCATTTTTTTTTTGTAATTTACCAGCCACATGCACATTTGGCTATAAAATAAACAGAACTCATCAAAGTTATATCCTAATATGAGAGTATCAACATGAGAGAAAATCCCAGACCCTGAAAATGTAGTATAAAGCAATCAAATTTAAAAGACAAAAACAAAAAAAAAGTACTTTTTAAAAGTACTTTTAAAAGCCTTTTAAAAACATCTGTGCCAGCTCAAAACTTTAGATCACTCTGAAATTCACTCTGATCTGGATTAGAATCTGTATAAGAGGAGCAGAAGCAGAGCTTGTTTACAACACAAAGCTGACTCAGCCAGGTAGATGAAATAAAAGCAATGTAAACACTACATAGAACATTAACTTTGGAAGAGGGTGGCTCCAAATAAGGAAAGATCCTAGCTAAACCAGGTTTTCTCTGAGTCAAGAAGTTTTTGTTTTGTTTTGGCAGTACTGGGATTTGAACTTAGGGCCTCATGTGTGCTAGGTAGGTGCTCTATCCCTTGAGCCACACATCCCCAGCACCTTTTTGGTTTAGTTATTCTTGGGATAAGATTACCCTTTTGCCAGGGGTGAGTTTTAGACCAGGATTCTCACCCTATGCCCCCTGTGTAGCTGGGGCCACAGGCATGAGCTACCACACCCCACCCTAGAAATTCTTTTTCGGTTCCTTTCAAACTGAAGACTTTGATATTTCTATCATCTTCTATTATTTTTGTACTAAGATGAAGAATCTTCCTAAAGATGATTTACTTCAATAAATTGTAGAAGGATTGGTTTAGAGATTTTTCTAGTCCTATGGAACTTAGCTGAATTCAATGTATATGTTCTTGGGATTACTTTGCTAGAACAGACAAAGCTATGAAGAAGCCACAGTTCTTCTAATCTAGCAGGGTGGAAATATACATGAACACAGGAAACTCAAGACAGATTGTAATCCACTTGTAGGAAAGATAGCTGACGGCACACAAGGGAAGCAAACATTATTTTTCAAGGCTGCTTAATTTGGGAGTTTACTTAGGATGGAACATTTAATAGGAAGGAATCAGATTTGATTTCAGTTGGGAAGTGAGACAGAGAAAGAGTGCATGACTTTGAACCTGATAACATAGGATTGTGGTTTTGGATATTTACTAAAATAGCAACAGAGATGGATGGTTTGGGGCTAGGGAAAACAGGAGTTTTTGAATGAACATATTAAGTATGATATGTTCTTGGGAAGGTAACTGCCCAGTCAGCAGTTGGAAATGAGAGTCGGAGTCCTCCAAAGTACACTGGTCTGAGGATAGACCCTCGTGAACCACCATTGTGAAGAGTTGGGATTTAAGTCATAGGAGTTTGTTGAGTTTGTAAAGCACGATGTTCAGAATGACAAGATAAGGTAGTCATCTCCGTTGCTCAGACATACTTTTCTTCTCTCCAGTGGACTTTAGGATTGCAACTGCTTCGGAATTACATATTTCCAACAGATCTGTATGCCACTTCTTTTAATCTTTTACACATTCTTGTTGATTTTATAAAATAAATTTTATACTTTGTTTGATTCCTCTGGCACTGACCATAAAATTGACATCATGGATCCTCAGGATATTTGTAAAATAATCTTTCACTCTTCTAGTTAATTGGCACCTTGGACTTCATTTTATTCATACAATCCTCACTTCATTTTTGTAGGTGTAATCAGGATTAATAGTATCTGAAATTTTAATGTTGACATATCCAGGAGAGAAGTAGAGGAGATTAGCATGAGTAATGAATCATTTAGATATAAATGTCATGTCATCATGCAGTTTGTTTTCTCCATCTTTGATCTTCATGAGGAAAAATATATTCCTAATATTGTAAATCCATAAAAATATTCTTTTTAAAAGTGGTATTTCTTAAAGGGACATATAAAACACACATGAGGTACTCTGTTCTTTGGTTGGCATTTGCAGACATATTTGCATCTCTATATCTGCCAACCCTGGAGTTTTCTGGTTGCTGTGTAGCAGGTTAATCTGTTAACTGCTGCAGATATTCCAGCAACCACAGATGAGCTACTTTGCATACATTTTTGTTTTGTTCTGTGCTTCTGTCCTGTTTGGTTTTGGTGAATCTAATCAAAATAGTTTGAAGTACTATGCACACACAAAATACCCCTTATTCGGATTGGGTATTCTTTTGGAAGTAGGAGATTTAGTGCTGATTGTATTATCTTCTTCCAGTTTGATATCATGGAGGGACAGTGATAACAAAAAATAAAATAACGTAAGGTTCAGTGCCAGATAATAACAGGGATAGAATTGAAAGGAAGGCATGACAGGAAGGTGATTAATAAAGCCTTTGTTCTTTTGTGCATTTACACAACTTCTGTAACTTTTGTTTCTTTTCCTTTGAGGACTGATTCATATTCCCTGCCATAGGGGGAAACATGAGAAAAAGTAACATTAAAAACTGTGAACTTTATTTTTTTTTATCTCTGGTACAATTCTGTCAGTTAAAATACTGAACTTTCTACATCTTTGTTCCTTATCTCATTCTTTAGATCAATAAAAAATTACACAATTGCTAAAGTGTCTTCCATGGAGATAGTTTCTAAGTCATCAAAATTCTGTAGCAAGAACTTTTATATTTGATGAAATCTCCCAAATGGAAACATTCCATTTCTTCTGCAATGATTCTCTAAGTTCTACAAATTTCAAGGGTTCTCCTGAACAAAGAGTATTTTTAACAGAATTATATGGATCACACACTTGTGTTTATTCACTCCATCATCCCTTCATTTAGTTAGTCAACAAATGGACTAAATGCCTGTTCTATGCCAGATAGTGCTGAAGACACAAGGCCTTCTTCTACTTGCAGTCTGGGTGGACGAGGAGGAGTAGCACTAGTTCCTGATGTCAGTGCTCTGTGGAAAAAGACAGAGACTTGCAATATACAATAAATAGGATGGGGGACAACTTCCCAGGTGAAGGGGATTTTTGTAATTTCTTACATGCTTGCATGAAAAAGTAGGAGCCAATAAGGTTCAGAAAAGGAATGGAGACTCATTCTAGAAAGAAGTGGAGAGCCAGGCACCAGTGGCTCACACTTGTAACCCTAGCTACTCAGGAGGCAGAGATCAGGAGGATTTCAGTTCAAGACCAGCCTGGACAATAGTTCATAAGACTTATCTCAAAAAAAACCTCATCACAAAAAAGGGTTGGTGGAATGGTTCATGGTTTAGGCCCTGAGTTCCAACCCCAGTCCACAAAAAACTAAAAAGAGAGAGAAAAGAAAGGAGTGGAGAAATGGAGACTCATTCTAGAAAGAGGGGATAACATGGGTGAAGCCACGAACAGAACAAGTGCTAAACTTTTAAAGGAAATCAGAGCTACTGCTTTTATTTCTCAGTTCTCTGACTCAAACTATCATTTAGTGATGAATTTCTTTTCTTAACTTCAATATGTATTTCCTGTTTGTTTTTTTCTCAACTTGTTCAGTTGAAATACACACAAAACACACATGCATATATACATATACATGCATATTTGCACACATTTTCATGTATATGAATAAATATGCATTTTGTATATGTAAATAAATGTATATATGAGCCGTTATTACAGAGTAAATGATAGAGGGCTTGACTTAGGAAGCATTATGTTTTATCATGTACTCCAAACTTGTTTTGCCTCAGTATTTTGAGATTTGCCTTCCAGATTTTTATAGGTCAATTTAAAGACACACATAACACATTTTGAGAATGAAGATCTTAAGCTCTTAATATTATCACACATTTCAGTTTTCCTTCTTCTTCCCCATTAATGCTTATTGTTCCAATTGTATTTTACTGTTACTAAGAAACCACACACACTTCTTATCTATATGTTTTCTCTCTTAGCTCAAATGGTCCAAATTTATGGTATTTTGTGGCTTTTCTTGTCTTCAAAAGTAGCTAGCTCAGTAAGCTGGAATTTTTAAAAGACTCTCTGTGATGATTCTGTGGTTCTATTCCTGAGTAGCTAGTGGCCACCTGTGTTTTTACTTGCTGAGAGTGAATTTGTTAAATGCTACATACATTCTACGTGGTCAACCCCCCCTCCTCAAAACACCTTCTTTCCTATTCTGATATAGAATTCAGATTCATGTCTTCATTTAGGGCACAGAGTGTTATTCTCACTTGGATATTTTTTCAGTTCTCCAGATTTTGAGGATTATGGCTGAACCTACAAATGTTTAAACCCAGAATAATGTATTGGCAGAGTACAAGGCTTTTCTGAGAATATATTGGAATGCTTAATGCAAGATAGGTAGAGTATAAGTACTGACAGAAAGTAATAACAGAGATTTATAAAACTAAAATCCATCAAGCTTGTGTGTTAAGGGTAAGCATTATTATTGAATAAGCATTTTTATCTATGCACAATATTTCAGGCATACTTAAGAAGAGCCCTTTTATAGAGCCAAGTGTGGGGGCACATGCCTATTGTCAAAACTACTTGGGAGGCAGAGGTAGGAATATTGGTTGAGGTCAGGAATTCTAGTCCACCCTGGGTAACAAGGGAGAGCCTGACTCATATATATATATATATGTATATATATATATATATATATATATATATATATATATATATAAAACTATATATACATATAGTTTCTGAATAAGTTTTCTTACTTAGAATACAAAGATTTTATTTTTTAGACACAATTTATGTATTTTCAGAGACTGATAATCGCTTCTCCTTTGCAATTATCGCTGCCTGGAAAATATGATTACAAACAAGAAACAAATCCTTTATCATCTTATTTTATTTACAAATTATTGTTTGTGGTAATCTCTTTTAAAACTCAATTTTTTTTTAACTTTTGAACTTTTCATAAAATATCTACATGGAGAAGATGACACTGTTAAGTTCTTTTTGTATACACCATATCAAATACTCAAAAAATTTAAAACAGTATCACCTGAATATTAAGGAGGCCAGACCAAATTGCAGATCTAAAGTTTAGATTAATGAATGATAAACTGATGCTTAACTAAATTTTTATACTCATCTTTTAAAAAGTAAAGTGAGGATTAAACTTCAGTGAAAGCAGAAGTTATAGCTTTTCTCTTTCCTTCAGCTACATTTAAATTATTTTTAAGAGAATCTTTGATGGTTACTTCTAATTGTTTTGATGTCTCTTTTTTTGGGATGATGTAAGCATACAGTAAAATAAGAAAAATAAATAATTTCCAGGATTGAGGAAATTATATCATTTAAAAGATACTAAATTTTAGGCTGGGCACTTAGGTAAATGTTAGAGCAGGTGCTTAGTGCATAAAGGCCATGAGTTCAATACCCAACATCCCCTAAAAAGATAATAATGTGTAGACTTTCCAATTTTACATGCCTTTTTAGGCATGATCTGATTAAGTGATTGTCAATTTATCAGATAAGTTTATTTATTTATTTAATTTTTTGTTGTTGCTATACTAGGAATACATTGTGACATTTACAAAAGCACTTACAATATATCAGATACATCGTAGTTGAATTCACCTTTTCCATCATTCTCCTTCAACCTCTTCCCTCATTTCTGGAATAGTTTCAGCAGGTTTCATTTTTCCATTTACATACATGTGTATATAATATTTCCACCATATTAACTCTCCTACACCTCTTCATTATATTCAAATAGGTTTAAATATTCAATAATTTACAAAGCAATGTAGTAAATATCATTTGAATGTCTCAAATAGAAATGAGTTCATCTATCCTTTATACTTATGCTCTGGGTTTTTTGTTCTGTTTAGCTCTTTTTATTGGGGTTTGAACTCAGGGCCTAGACCTGAATCACTCCATCGGCCCTTTTTAGTGATAGGTTTTTTAGAGACAGGGTTTTGTGAACTATTTGCCTGGGCTGTCTTCTAACCATGATCCTTCTGATTTCTGCCTCCTGAGTAACTGGTATTATAGGTATGAGCCACTGCTGCCCAGCTATGTTCTGGGTTTTATAATTGAAACGCTACTCAGTTCTGTATCCCTAGCCTTTTATTCCTTTTAATCATTTCCAGTCAATGCATCTTATCCTCTGAATTATATTCTAAAAATTTACTCCATTATAATATTTGAGTTGTTGATAAAAATGAGTTCTATGTGAAGAATGGAGGGAATATTCTTAAACATCTCAAGTGAAATCTTACTGACATTAAGTATGGCTATCTACCATAATATGTGGACAGCATATGGTATTCAAAAGAAGCTATATTTTATCACCAGACTGAAGAGGCAACCCACAGAATGCAAGAAAATCATTGTCAGCTATACATCAGACAAGGGATTCATAACTAGAATATACAGGGAGCCCAAAAAACTAAGCTCCCCAAAAACTCAATGATCCAATAAAGAAATGTGCAAATGAACTGAACAGAAATTTTTTGAAGGAAGTAGTAAGAATGGCCAAAAAACCAAAAAACAAACAAACAAAAACACCATGAAGAAATGCTTACCATCCCTGGCAATGAAGAAAATACAAGTCAAAACCACATTAAAATGTTAGAATGGCTATCATCAAGAACACCACAAACAACAAATGTTGGCAAGGAAATGAGGAAAAAGGAACCCTCTTACACTGTTGGTGGGAATGCAAGCTAGTTCAACTACTATGGAAAGCAGCATGGGGGTTCCTCAAAGAGCTAAAAATAAAAGTGTCAGCCATACCACCCCTCAGCATATATACCTAGGAATGTTAAGCAATAAAGACACTTGCACACCCATGTTTATTTTAGCATTATTCACAATAACCAAGCTATGGAAATAGCCTAGATATTCTACAACAGATGAAAGAATGAAGGAAAAGTTATATAAACACACATAATGGAATTATTCAGGCATTAAGAAGAATGAAATTGTGCCACAGGTAAATGAATGGAACTGGAGATCGTCCAGTGAAATGCTAAGTGAAGTAAGGAAGGTTCAGAGAGATAAAGATTGCATGTTTTCTCTCAAATGTGGAAGATTGTTCTAAATACAAACACAAGCATTATCATTAAAAAAAAAAGAAACTATATTTTCCTCCTCTGAAAAATAAGTTTTTATCAGTCTTTGAATATTGGTTAATGTCAAATACAGCAAGTTATTGAGCCATAAGAAAAGACATTTTTATTGAAACAAACTAATTAGCAATGTACATCCAAGAGAGCTGGAATATATTAGAAAATAGCTGCTCAGTTCACATGGAAAAGGCATGTGTGATGTTACTGGCAGGGGGTTTAGGATTTCTAATATTCCCGAGGTGAATCAAGTGACCTAGCGGCATGCTAACCATGTCATATAACTTAGAAAATAGCTCTTAAATGCCAACAAAGCTGCATCTGATACTTGCCAAGAGACAGGTGTTGTTGCTGGTAGATAAAATGTATACCACAGCTTGAAACCTATGTTTTATTAGTGGTACCTAAGGAGAGCAGCAATTTTAGTAACTAATGGAATCTCTATTTCTTTTCATTCCCCTGACTCATACATAGTGTTAAATCTTCAGACTTATGCCAAAAGAATTCAACTTATACTACACATTTTAATTAGAGCCATTTTCCTTTTTATATAAAGCAATTATTTTTGCATAGAGCAGTTATAATTACTATACTAAAAGATGCTTGAGAATAAATGTGAACGTAATAAACTTGTGTTTCTTACAGGCATTCACCTACTCATTCTGGATATTTGCATGATTTTGCCTTATTGGGCTAATGATGACTAATGTTTATAATGAGGCAATTAAAGAAATTAATGATTCAATTTAGCATCAGTTACTATTTATGATGACTCTTTTGTCCAGTGTTCAAATATGACTCTTCCATTGGGGTTGAATATGTTCACAGTGTTCAGGAAAGCTGTTGAAAATAAGTTTGTGAAAACTGTGCAATAGTAATGTAATATTCCCTGGTTTTGTGCTAAATGTGACACAAAGCAATTAAGTTATCCTTAGACCCAACTCATCAGAATTAATTTCTTAGAGTTCCAGAATTCATCATTAAAGAGTTACTCAACTCCAATATTGTACTTGCTTGACTTCCATTTAGCATTGCAATCAGAGTCCACTTAGAAAATAACTGTTTCCTTTAAGAAGCCTCTTATTATTTTTAATATTTAGTTATCTTAAGGAATACATGTCCTTATGTATTTTAGGAACATAACTACATTGCAACATTTGCACACTTAATTTTGATAGTGTCTATTTTTGTTCTGGAAATGTATCTGAGAATATGTTGATAATATATGTGACCATTGAAAATATTTTATTGTGTATGGTTTTGTGAAATACAAGTTTTCTTTGGAAGGTCATGAATCTAGTATGAGAATGGGTTCTACAAATCAAACTGGTGAGGAAAATTTTTTCTGGGTTTCCTATTCAATAAGTTAAAGAAACAATGATTCAAAGACAACTATATAAAAATCAAAGTAATTTGTAGCTTATAAATTATTAAAATTCTTTAAATTTGGAACTTTTAATGTAGATAGTATGGAGATAGAGAATCTTTTAACACATTGATTGTTCATGTTAACTTCACTGTTTCTCTCCTTTAGGGTGTGGTCAGGCCCACTGGGGGATATGCTGTAATGCTAAACTGGACAATGTCCTCGATTTATGGACTTAAACCTGGAGAGGTAATCAAGGTTTTAAGTTTATACTATATGACATTTATCTGATGAAGACATGTATTGCAGCTGAGTGTAATTCACTCTGTAATTCCAGCACTCAGGAGGTTAGGTTTGGAGGATCATGAATTTGAAAACCTCCTGGGCTATGTAGCAAGTGCCTCCTTGAAAAAAAAAGAAACAAAAAAAGGAAAAAAAAAGAAACAAAAGAAAAAAAAAGGACATGTACATTGTATTTTCCTCTTTTCTTTTTAGGTATGGTGGGCAGCTTCTGACTTAGGCTGGGTTGTTGGACATTCCTATATTTGTTATGGACCTCTTCTCCATGGGAATACCACAGTTCTATATGAGGTAACAAAACAAAAGTAATACCATATGTACTTAATCCTTATATTACTAAAACTTTTTGAAAAACAGTCTTGGGGAGGAATAGTAAAATTTGGATGGTGATAGGGAACATTTTTATATCTTCTTCCAGTTAAAAGTATGGAAGCAAAAAGAAAGGGATATGTAGAAAATAATAACAAGTTATTTGAATTGAATTGAAGAACAGAATTAGTAAAAAAGTAAATTCTGAAGAATATACAATAACAAGATTAATATCTTTCCCTCACAGATTTCTAGGAAGTAATATCAAACTGATTCTAATTTCAGAGTCCTAGAAAAGAAAACTGACATCCTAAAACAAGCAAGATAGATTCAGTTTTTTGTCTTTATAGAGGATTAGTGGATTTCCAAAGGTGTTTTTTTTTTTTTTAGATTTTACCTAAGTATTTCCCATGGTTTCTGATAATTACTTTATATACAAGGGAGAGAAATATAGACTTGCCACATTCATGGCTGAATAGGTAACCACTTGAAGATTCTGGCACATGCATTAATGTCATCCTGTAATAAGGTTTCTATGTGTACATTGAAAAATTTCCCTCATATGCCTATTCTCTTTAATTTACATGAAAACATAGATAACATATTCATCAGATTTGTGGGAGATTAAAATCTTAGCAAATCCATTAACAAATAATGGTAGTTTACTAAATTATTATTCAAGATGATCCTGGGATTTTTGAATAAAACTAATAATATGTAAAAATGTAGAAATATTTACATTCTTATATTTAAATAAAATATAACGCAGAAATGAAATAGGAGAAACTTGTTTTTGTTGTAGTTTATGCATTAAATCCCTAGGTATTATAACTGCTCATAATTCAAATCAGTTGTTGGTAGGGTTGTTTTTAAAAATACTCATCATAAGCAATGATATAATATTACTTTATTTGTCCATCTTTGTAATTTGGGTTCAGTTTAATGAAGAGCATAAAACAACATTAACTGATTAGAATGCATCTGAAAGAAGGAGTCCAAGATGAAAATAATACCATATAAGAAAAAAAAGAAAGGGAATCTTTATTCCAAAAAATATATTGAATGTGTATCTGTCATTTGTATATTTTGATGATTAAAATATATGACTGTTTAAAGTAGGTCCTCTTATAATGCAGTTATGGAGAGTTATATTCTTTGGGAATATCAGTTCAAAATATCTGGCATAGTAGTAGAGTGGGCAGCTTCCCAAAAGCAAGGCTCTCTTTCATATAAGTTGTCTCTCATTGTCAAGCAAGGAATATCACATGAAAATGTGGGGTGTGGAGAGAAGAACTGGGTGATGTCAAGGTTCTTTACAATATTAATAGTCTGCTACTCCATGAATATGCAGAACACGAGCAACTGTTCTCTGTCTTCATGAAATGCTCTTGGTTGCTTCACAATGTAAAGACCCCTGTTCCACCATTGTTAGCTGTCTGGTTTTCTGTCTCTGAATGCCAAGAAATACTAAAAGTGATACAAGTATTGAAGCATCATGCACCACTCCACATCTCTTGTACTGCATTTTGGTGCCTTGCAGACTTGATATGTGTTTGGATGTTTGGGATAATTACAACATGAAAGAATCTTGACACATCTGTTCCATACTAAAGTCTTTGTAAGAGAATAAAGGTTTTTACTAAGATAATTATTCCTCTTCAAATAAACAAAAGAATTCTCAATATTGGAAGCTTACATTGAGTTGGGACATTGCTAATGTAAATGTGACAATGCAGAATTCATCCCAATATTTATATGTATTTATATTTATAATTATTAGGTTGACTTTACAATTGAGATTCCTACAATATTTGTGCTGCTTACCATTGGCTTCTGTTGTTCTCAAGTTTAAAACATAATGCTAACATTATTGGGGAAGGTTGTTCATTGTCTTATCTTGGAATATGTGCTCAAGAGTAGTGTAGAGATTCTATAAATATTTGTACAAATGACTAAATAAAGTAAGCAACATTTTAAAACCTTTTTTACTGCACTTTCTTTTCTACACCTTATAAATGTTCTCAAGTCTATCTGATCACAAAACAAAGCCTTTTAGAACCTGCTTGTAGCTGTTAGACATTTTTAAGCTCCTTGAAAAATATCCTACCAAATTGTCTGAACATATTCTTCCATTCACTCCTCCTCAACTGTAGTCTGGTTTCAGTCCACATCACTGCATAGAGGCTGCTATAGTAAAGGTCATAAGTGACTTCATAAGTGGAAAAGTCAGAAAGCCTTCTTCAGTCTGATTTTATTTCCTTTCTCAGTGGTCTCCGGGCATGATGATTATTCCCTTTAGAGAATTCTATCTTCTTTCTGTGCTCCATTTCCCTTTGCTATTCATGTAGTTTCTTTTGCATGGTGTGACTTTCTCCTTGTTTTTCCTTACCTGGTAAGTTTCTACTATCCTTGAAGATTCTACTTACAGAATATCATCTCCTCAAAGTTCTCTCTTGTGGTCTTGGGCTGCATCCAGTGCCCTTTTCTGTGGCCCATTGTCTATTAAGCAGATGTCCATCCTTGAGTTGGCCATCCTGTACCAAAATGATCTGTTTGCATATAGAAAAGTCTAAAGGCAAACAGCATGGTACTGGCACAAAAACAGACATGAAGACCAGTGGAACAGAATAGAGGATCCAGATATGAAGCCACACAACTATAAGCAACTTATCTTTGACAAAGGAGCTAAAAATATACGATGGAGAAATAGCAGCCTCTTCAACAAAAACTGCTGGGAAAACTGGTTAGCAGTCTGCAAAAACCTGAAACTAGATCCATGTATATCACCCTATACCAAGATTAACTCAAAATGGATCAAGGATCTTAATATCAGACCCCAAACTCTTAAGTTGATACAAGAAAGAGTAGGAAATACTCTGGAGTTAGTAGGTATAGGTAAGAACTTTCTCAATGAAACCCCAGCAGCACAGCAACTAAGAGATAGCATAGATAAATGGGACCTCATAAAACTAAAAAGCTTCTGTTCATCAAAAGAAATGGTCTCTAAACTGAAGAGAACACCCACAGAGTGGGAGAAAATATTTGCCAACTATACATCAGACAAAGGACTGATAACCAGAATATATAGGGAACTTAAAAAACTAAATTCTCCCAAAACTAATGAACCAATAAAGAAATGGGCAAGTGAACTAAACAGAACTTTCTCAAAAGAAGAAATTCAAATGGCCAGAAAAACACATGAAAAAATGCTCACCATCTCTAGCAATAAAGGAAATGCAAATTAAAACCACACTAAGATTCCACCTCACCCCTGTTAGAATAGCCATCATCAGCAACACCACCAACAACAGGTGTTGGCGAGGATGCGGGGAAAAAGGAACCCTCTTACACTGTTGGTGGGAATGTAGACTAGTACAACCACTCTGGAAAAAAATTTGGAGGCTACTTAAAAAGCTGGACATCGATCTACCATTTGATCCAGCAATACCACTCTTGGGGATATACCCAAAAGACTGTTACTCCAGAGGCACCTGCACATCCATGTTTATTGCGGCACTATTCACAATAGCCAAGTTATGGAAACAGCCAAGATGCCCCAGCACTGACGAATGGATTAAGAAAATGTGGTATCTATACACAATGGAATTTTATGCAGCCATGAAGAAGAACGAAATGTTATCATTCGCTGGTAAATGGATGGAATTGGAGAACATCATTCTGAGTGAGGTTAGCCTGGCCAAAAGACCAAAAATCGTATGTTCTCCCTCATATGTGGACATTAGATCAAGGGCAAACACAACAAGGGGATTGGACTATGAGCACATGATAAAAGCGAGAGCACACAAGGGAGGGGTGAGGATAGGTAAGACACCTAAAAAACTAGCTAGCATTTGTTGCCCTTAATGCAGAGAAACTAAAGCAGATACCTTAAAGCAACTGAGGCCAATAGGAAAAGGGGACCAGGAACTAGAGAAAAGGTTAGATCAAAAAGAATTAACCTAGAAGGTAACACCCACGCACAGGAAATCAATGTGAGTCAATGCCCTGTATAGCTATCCTTATCTCAACCAGCAAAACCCCTTGTTCCTTCCTATTATTGCTTATACTCTCTCTACAACAAAATTAGAGATAAGGGCAAAATAGTTTCTGCTGGGTATTGAGGGGGGAGGGGAGGGGGTGGAGTGGGTGGTAAGGGAGGGGGTGGGGGCAGGGGGGAGAAATAAACCAAGCCTTGTATGCACATATGAATAATAAAAGAAAAATGAAAAAAAAAAGTCTAAAGGCATCTAAAGCTAGTTTTTAGCATAGTCGTGAATAATCTTGGAATTAAAATAAAAAATTCTCTTCATTCTCTGAGACATTTTTCATAATTAGTTTTACTCTTGGTTTCTCTTTATTGGTCTTACATATTAGTTTTAATAAGGTCACATTCCTTAGCCTTATCTTCTCATTCTGCTGTATTTTGTAAAATATCCTTGCAAGTAGATTTAACTCTTACTAGTTAAGTCAAAACTTCCCAAATCCCTGTTCCCATATCTGACTGTTTTATGGAGTATCAACTTACTGTGAGACATCTTGCATGGCCTACTTACACTTTATGCCAAGGTTGGCAAGAACTGAATTTATGAGTTTTCACTCTTCCTACAAAAACGTACTTCCATCCATGCACTTTGTAGCTTCACTGATGCTACCCAATCCATGCAATCATCAAGACATATCTGCAAGTGATTCTAACTTCATTAAATTTTATGTAATTTAAATAGTGCTTGAAAGAATACTTATAGCACTAAATGGATACATTAGAAGGAAGCACAAACATCAAATCAAGTCTAAGCTCCCATCTTAAGGAACTCACAAAGGGAACAAAATAAAATTCCCAATAAAGAAGAAAGAAAATAATAATCTATACACATCCTCTATAAACTTTAAATATCTCCAGATACCTACAATAACTAACACAGGGTTAATACTATATAAATAGTTGTAATACTGAATTGTTTAGGAATGTTGATAAGAAAAAT